ATGACTGGAGGTGGGGGTGTGTCTGAATACTGGCACCACATAGATGGGTATCAAATATAATTGAGAAAGGGGCTTAAGAATAATTGATATCAGTGTTGCCATATTTCCAAAAGTGTAATATGAGCTGGGGGGTGGGGAGTTGTTGAACTTTTTGTTTTCTTGGCCATAATTGTTGAACTTTTTTGGCAATATAATAATAATAATAATAATAATAATAATAATAATAATGAGTTTTTGAGTTATTTTTAATGAAATTCGCCAAAACCTACACTTCCGACATGGGCTATATGCCCAGATTTTCCCACAAGCTTCAAGCAATTTTGGTCCGGACACTGTGAGGGCTGGATACCAGCTAAGTTCGGGAAATTCCAGACGTATGGTAACCCTATCCATGTGGCAGCTAGAAAGTAGTTGATTTATCCTGACAGGCTATATTAAACAACAACCTATTTCATCCAACACGCCTGGCACAGATGCATCTAATTTAGAAAGCCATTTGCAGTGGAATTGCAACCTGTAGCACCCATTTCAGCCCGATTCTTAGTATTTTTAAGCCCTGCAGAGTTCAGTGGAACTGGGTTTCCAATAAGTGTGCTTAGGATAGCACCTTTTGCTTTCTGTTGCTGGAAATTGACGTGTCGTCTAGATGCCCCACAGATTGCAAGCATGACTGCAACCAGAACTTTGAGGAGGCCAAGCCCCTTCACTGAATTTTTTTGTGGTGGGCAGCTGGGCCCCAACACCCCTACTTGGCGCCCCTGTTTGGAGCCAATACATAATGAATTTCCTCATCTCTCTCCTTCCAGCCAGTGTGATCGGAAACAGGGAAACATAGTACAGTGGTACCTCAGTTCTCGAACGAAATCCATTCCGGAAGCCCGTTCAGCTTCCGAAACGTTCAGAAACTGAAGTGTGGCTTCCCATTGGTTGCAAGAGCTTCTTGCACTCAGCAGAAGCCACAACGCACATTCGGGTTCTGAAAAACGTTCGAAAACAGAAGCATTTACTTCTGGGTTTTTGGCATTTGAGAAAGCCTCTCCTTCTCCCGGAAGGGGAGGGGTTTGTGACCGGGATGACAATTCCCACTTCACGCAAGGGGGCATTTGGCCCCCTGCCCTCTCACTATCGCTGGCGCGCCATGCCCCCAGGTGGGCACCCAATCGGGTGGCACCGAGTGTGTGTGGTTTAGCCGCTCAAATGCGGCCATGCCAGCTCTCCCCACCATTCGCTCCGATCTGCCACGAGTCACCCACCCACCACTCCCTCTAGGGCATAGCTTCTTGCTTGGCCTTGCTATGGACCTATGGTTTGGCCCCTGGTTGCCAGGGGGCCTGGTAGGAGTTTTTCCAATTGGCAAATTGGCATCGGCCTCTTGGTTTTTTCGCCTACCTCGTAGCAATCGTCACAATTCTTGGTATTTGGCAGTTAGGCATTGGAATGTGTTGTTGGTGTATGGAGGTGTGGCCATCGCCTACCTTCAC